CATCAAAGAATCTCAGAGCAAGAAATAACCCTTTGCAACCATATTTGTAAAAATACAAACATAAAAATAAGATAAGATTTCCCCAAAGGTGATAATTATGATTTGGAGGAAAAATAGCTCTGCTTTTTTCAACATTCCACTATCACCACAGAGCAAATACTCTGAGGCAGCCTCTGTGCAACAAAGACTGGAAGAGTGAAGATGTGAGACGGTCCAAAAGGACCATGAGGAGGGTCAATCAGGTCTCAGTCACAGGCAACAAGTAAAAGATTCTGAAGAGCATAAAAGAAAATGGTCACATGATTATTTTTTCCAGTGATCAATCAGAACTGGAATAAAATACCTGGAAACAAAATACCTACCCCTATGTTTTCCCAATTTTTGTTTCATATATAGATGTAGAAATGATGATGAAGCCTAAGACCTTGAGATCTTGTGTAAACTGCTACAAATGCCAATAGACATGCAAGATAAAACCAAGAAATACTGTCTTATTGGGGGCTTTCAAATCTCTGTAGATAAGCAAAGAACCCGTGTCTGTCTCTGTAAACAATGACTTGAACAATTAAAGACAAAAATTAAACAATTGGTGACTTAAAGAAAGCCAAGCCTGCTATCCTACTTGAACAGAAAAACTCTCTAAGGAGAACTGACATTCCACTCCCTTCCTTACAGCCTGGATGTTCATTTTATGGCTTGCCACCACTGAAGTAATAGCTTATATATCTGGATAAAATTAGTGAAATACAATCCTGCAAACACAAGGTTCTGGCTAAAAGCCTGCATCCCTGCTCAGAATGCTGCAGATGCCGTGTAAGCTGCAAGAATGGCTCTCAAGACTTTAAATATTTTTAGCTTTATATTGTCTTTTATAGATCTTGCACTTCCATAGTAGGAAGTATTGTAATTTTTTTTATTTTGCTTTTACAATTTACTTAAATTTGCAAAATGTTCCTTGATTGCATGCATTTCCCTTTAAAACAAACAACAGTGAGCTGCTGGTCAAGGAAAGGTACATTAATCTTATTTTGCCTGCATTAAAAACAAAATTCTTCAAGAGCTTACAAAGGACTGTGAAAAACAGGACAGACAATTAATTTATACCACATCTACAAAAGACTCAAATACAATTTTTAATTAAGAAATTTTACTTTTACTCATTTTTCACAAAAACTTTTCAGTATGACTTCTACCAATCCAATAATTTAATGTTCTCTGGAAACACTATTGGGAGTTTGAGTCACAGAAACAGATGGATTTCTTTTTTCCAGCAGTTGATTTTTCAGGTGAATTTCACTTCTGTAATTTGATTCCAATTTGTACGTATCTTCTTTCTTCAGTAAAAAAGAAAAAAAAACCTCCGCTTTTCAAACGTGATTGGCATATTTACTGCATAATTGCAAACTACTACTGTACTTTCAGATGTTATACCCCTGCACAGAAATGATGGATTGGCCTGCTCTTTACTTGCTTTGAGGCAAAAATGTTGCCTCTGTCCCTCTGTGTAAAATTGTTCTCTGAATATGTGTGAATTACCTCACTCCAAATGTTTATACATGAGCATGCACGCGTGTGCACAGTAAACAAATTATTAGATTGATTCAATACAAAATGCAAAATGGAATGGAGCTGAAGTATATTATGTATTCACAAAATGCCACTGGGTTTCATTGCATGTTACTTTCAAGTGAATATTAAAAAGATGTAAAAACAAAAATTCTAATTTTCTTAACTTATGCCAAGACACCGCATAAATTGATAAGGATGTTAAATACGGTCTTCCTTCTGCGCCATTGTCTAAGAAAACAAAAAATAAAAGAAGAAATAGGAGGAACAAGCTCAGTCTAACCAAGACCTTAAGAATCCATACTGAAGGGCTTCCTGAAGAACTAACAGGTGCTATCAACACAAGACAAGAATATTTTGTCTCCGTAAGGACTGTGGAAAGCATGAAAGCTTCTGAAGCATCTGACATTCAACTGCAGCCAAAAGCAGCTTCAATGTGCTGTTTGGATGGATCATCAAATCTCACCATAAATATACAACGTATTTGAGGACACTGAAGTCTGCATCTATCAAGTTATCATCAAACATAGTTTCTCTGGACAGATCAAGCCTTGTCCACCTAGTGTAATAAGGAAAATGGGCTTCAGAACAAGAGCAGAACCAATTTTGGCACGTGATCCTCTTTCCTCAATCTCTCTTGCCTTTTTATCCTTCACAGAAGAAATTAATATGTGTGAAAGAAATGAAGTGGGTGAAACACTGGCTGGGCAAGACACTAGGCAAAACAGACTGCTTGAGTGGGGGAAGAAGTGCAAAACCATAATGTCAAGAAGGAAAGGGAAAACAGTTCCAAAAGTTGTGTTTCAGTTTGGGACAGTCCTACTTACCTAGCCCTCAGAACCAGCGCATTGTGGGAGGAGCAATGGGAACTAAAAAGGCCTTACTTTGCTCCTTATAATACTGCAAACAAGTGGAAAGTCTGGAAAATCAGCTACACTTGACTATCTTAAAGTCTGTGCTCCTTATGAATGGAAGTTTGAAGCTCTAATTCAGGAATTCAGACTGTTTGTTACACTGCAAAAAAAAAAAGAAATCAGTGGGAATGTTGCAGAACAACCTGTCGTGAACATGTTTGTATAGAACTGCTGGAAGAAAAAGTCAGAATAATGAAGCCTCTACAATCCAAGGAGATTGTGGATGCCAGAGGTGCCTACCTTAAGATGACAATTTTATCTTGGGCATCTGATAACAAAGAAGTGATGCTGAATGGATGGTAATCTGCACACAGAAGAAGAGCCAGCCAAAACTTGGAAGTCCTGAAAAGAGACAACAAGCAAACCTCTGTCATCAGCCAGGAATTAGGTGTAGAGAAATATTTTCAAAAAGAAAATATAAGACCCACTGAAAAGGAAAAGAAACAGGTAAATAGAGTTCCTGAGCCAACAAATTTTCTAAAATAAATCCTATGATTAACAGTCTTGAAGACAATGAGACCGTCACTTGTCAGGAGGAAGGCAGTTCAACTTGTAGCTAATGCTTTCACTGGTGAAAGGGGTCTCCATTTCAGTTCTTCAGCAATCTGCATAACTCATAGTCTTTCCCCTTTTTTACATGCCCATTTCCTTCAATGCCCATGATAGTACACTTGTTCCTTACAGAAGCTTTTGGAAACATCTTCATCTAGAAGGCACATCTGTTTTCATTTTTTTATTTAATGTTTTCATGTTTCATAATTTTTTCATGTTTTCATTTAATATGTTTTCCTATTTTTTGCCATCAGTCCCTCTGATGTTCCATTGCATGGTACTAGCTGATGAGATTTCTGTCCATTTCCTTAACTGTCAAAACACCTCTGCCTGTAAAGTGCCTAATGATTGTTTTCATGATCCATTAACTTCTACTGCAAATATTCTGATTAATTTTTGCCATCTAGATTTGAAGTATAGGACCAGTTAGAACAAGAAACTGCTGGTAGATCATCTTACGCTGAATGAATGGCAAAATTTAAAGCTGCATGTATACTTCAAAATATTTATAAAAATATTGAAAAATATTGGTAGCATACTCGCCACAGGTTTTGCTGTGCAATGTTAAAATTGCTCAGATTGAATTTTACATGTTTTAGAACCACAGAATCATGGAATCATCTAGGTTGGAAGGGACCTTTAAGATCCTTGAGTCCAACTATCAACCTAACGCTGCCAAAACCATCACTGAACCATGTCCCTCAGTACCGCATCTACCTGTCTTTTAAGGACCTCCAGGAGTGGCACCTCCTTGCACCATGGGAGCCTTAGATTGGGGGTATTAGGAAAAATTGCTTCCCTGAAAAGGTTGTCAAGCACTGGAACAGGGCAAGAAGTGGTATGAGTCACCATCCCTGGAGGTATTTAGAAGACTTGTATACATGGTGCTGAGGGACATAGTTTAGTGATGGACTTGGCTGTGCTAGATTTAAGATTGGACTCGATCTTAAAGGTCATTTCCAATTTAAACAATTCTGTTGTTTCGTGATTGTATGATTCTAATGGGTATTAGCCCTGGGAGTGTTGCGATCAACCTGCCTCAACCGCTGCCTCCAGTAACACCACGGGACGAGCTGCAACACCCCAGCTTCTCCCAGTGAATTCAACGCTACTACTTCAACCTCTCCCTCCTGGGATTAAGGGCAACACACACCAGATTCCGGCAGCCAGCCTGTGGAGAAGCAGTCCCCTCACGGCCGGGCCGGGGTTCGCGTGAACACGGAGGGTCCTGCCTTCCCCTCGAACACAGGAGGTACTTGTTTCCTCACCGAGAGAGGACATCCCGCCCCGACAGACGGGAGCCCGGCAGCCCCGGCTCCCCCTCACTGCGGCGGCGGGAGGGACGACACAGGAGATGGCGGGCGGGGACGGGACATGGCGGGCGGCAGCTCGCCACAGCCCGCGCGCCTCCCGCCACCGCCCCTCCCCGCGCGGAGGCCGCGCCT